AGAGAGAGAGAGAGAGCTTCAACTGCAGCATGGGAGAGAGAGAATGTTGACAGAGAAATGGGCTTAAGTCACAATGTGGCTAGAGAACAAGGACTTAGAGAGAGAATAAATGGAGAGAAGTGAGGGTGCTACTTGCTAACAAGAGGTCCGTGCGGTGTTTATGTAGATTGACTATCTTCATCGAACGGGGAGAACAGCTCGTATGGGAGCAAAAGGTGTGATCATTCGCCTCTCACTTGCTTCTTCCAGGCTCTCACCATGAATCTCAATAACTGGTGGCATAAAATCTGTGGAATTTTGATTTCTTGGGTCAATTTTCCATTTACTGTTGGGACATTGCCACAGGAGTCCACAAAATTCATTTAGATGATATCTGTTAGAACAAAAAAGTCTTCGAATATTGTAACCCAAACGTTTTCCTCTCATTTTGTTACAGGGAGAGTAACAAGCCTTGTGGCCAAAAAAGACCAACTTTTGGCTGACAGGATTGAAGAAGCCATTAAGAAGAATGAGAGCTTGGAGTCTCTTGAGGTTGCCAAGCAAAACCAGAGTGATTACAAATCTGTGAGAAAAGTCACAAATTTGAAACCAAAAGCAAAAATTAGCACAGCTTCAATAAAGTCATCATCCAAGGGGTCTCAATCTTCAGCTCAAAAGATTGTTTCAGCAAAGGGCAAGAAGAATCCAATGAGTTCAATGGCGGGTAAAAAGATTGTTTCAACGAAGAGCAAGAAGAATCAAACGAGTTCAATGGCTCCAAAGCCCAAAATTGTGAAGAAGAGAGTGGAAACCAGGAAACCCAATACAGGTCAAAGGGTAAAGACAAGTGCATCCAAACTTCGGGTAGTGGGGTTTCGGGGACGGAGTGCGGCTGCTTAGAAGCAGCATTTGAAAACATTTATAAAGCCGAGTTGTCTTCACTTGTGGGGGAGCAATCTCTCTCTTTGTAAATTATCTAGGCAATGTTCGGAAGCCATCTTAGATGCTGGTCATCAACAAATTATGTAGTTTTGATTTGGAATTTTCTGGAAGATCCAGCTTTAGCCTTTTTGGGTAATGGGGTGTTTTGTTCAGGAAATTAAATTTATCCGTGAGATGTCTCATGGCTGTTTTGTTTTGCTTACTTCTGTGAAGAAATATTTAACAACTTATATACAATAAATCACTGAAATTCCATCTCTATTACATAACTCTGTCAAATGGTGCTAATTTTAAAAAGGTGCTTCTATTTGTAGGCTCTCTTAAGCTGTGTACAAACGAGCCTCCAATGGAAAAGCAAAGCTCTTAAGAAGAGGACATTTGTCTTGTATATGAAGAGCTTTGGCCTAATAGAGGGCTAACGTAGAGGCCGTTAGTTTGGCTTCCTAGATATCTAAAATCACTTTTTAATACTACTTCGTGATCTATCAAGTCGGTGAAAATCATTCAGATTGTAAGCTGATATAGTATATACACTATGATGCTTTTGAAGAGCCTGGGCTAAGAACTTAAACCCCAATATACAACTGAAGGAATATGAGTTATGTATCACCAGTAATCAGAGCATGAGCAAGATCCATCCTTGAAATGATGAAACCTAAGTGCATCCCTCATGATAATCTCACGCCCACTGCTCAATGAAATAAGCTTAATTGCTGTGTGGCAATCAACACAAACCCGAAGGTTCTTAATTACCCTAATAGGCTTTGAATTTGCCTGTTTGAGAAGCCCCAAAGCAATAGCGAGCTTCTCGCTATGCTGAATAAGGACCTCCTCCTTCTCTTGATCCTCCAAATCTTGCATCACCAGACTGCAGTTTGGAACATAACCCAGCTTTTTTATATCAGATATGAGTGTTCTCAAATGGGTCTGCAATTCTTGATTCAATGGATGCGACTGATCAGAAGCATAGAAATGGTGCATCTCACCATTGATCTCGATCCAGCTGCACCCAGGTCTCTTTCGAACCTTCTTTTTTTCCATATTATCACTTACATTTTCAGCATGGACCCATCTACGTTCCGATCCATGAATGCTTATGAGCTGCAAATATGGGCTTGGGTCTCGAGAGTTTGCCTTTATTAGCTTGTTAGCTGCTCTTTGGGCTATATCAAAATTGGGTTTTGCTTTGCAGCCGTTAAGCAGCGAGGTCCAAATAACAGAGTCGGGTTCAAAAGGCATGGATGAAACCAACTTCTCTGCTTCTACAACCAATCCTAAACGAGAGAGAAGATCAACCATACATCCATAATGGCTTTTCTCAGGCTTAATTCCATAAATAGAGCTCATAATGCTAAAGTAGTTCCAAGATTGTTTTGCCAGACCTGCATGGCTGCAAGCCAACAAAAGACTAAGAAAAGTCACAGAGTCTGGTTTTATCTCCATGGATACAAGCTTTTCAAAAGCTACAATGGCCTTTTGAGCATTCCCATTCACTGAATATCCACTTATCAAAGCATTCCAAGTTACCAAATCTCGGTTTTCCATTTTATTAAATATTGACTCTGCAGTCACTATATCCCCACATTTAGAATACATATTAATCAGCGAATTAGCGACTATCGAGTATGATTGTAACCCGATTTTGATACTTAGAACATGAACTTCATGGCCAAATTTTAGTAGAGCCAAACTTGCACAAGCAGTCAAAATACTGGTTAAAATAGATTCGTTGGGGCATAAGCCAGTAAAAATCATTCGGTTATAAAGCTCCAATGCACACTCATAATGCCCCAAATTCATGTACCCACCAATCATTGAAGCCCAAGACAAGATATCAGGTTCTTTCACTTCTTCAAAGAGCTTCCGAGCCTCTACCAATCTACCATGACGAGCAAAACCATCGATCATGACATTGTAAGCAATGGCATTTTTCTCAGGCATTCTTTTGAAGAAATCTTCAGCTTCTTCAATCTTTCCCTCTCGTACCAACCCATTGATCATAACCGTAAAAGAAACTGTATCCCTTTCAGGCATCCTCTCAAAAAATCTTTTTGCATCATCGATACACTTATTCTCTATCATACCTGAGATCAAAGAAGTCCAAGTTATAACAGTGGGTTCAGGCATCCTCTCAAATAAAAAGATGGCTTTTTCCATTAATCCTTTCTTAGCATAGCCATTAATCAAAATGTCCCATGATATCGAATCTGGTTCAGGCATGTCATTAAACAATTCCCATGCCTCTTCTATTCTATTGTTGTTTACATATCCACTGATAATGGCATTCCAAGACCCAATGGACTGAACCTGCATCTTTTCAAACTCAACTCTTGCTTCCTCAATAGGCATACACTTCGCATAAAAGGTTATAATGGAAGACTGCAGAATCTCATCAAAATCCAAACCAATTTTCAAAATAAATCCATGAATTGCCATACCCAAATTAACAAATTTTATACCTGCACAAGCATTGAAAGCACTAATAACCATACGTTTAATGGCTCTGAAATCTTTTATACAAGCCATCATATCAACAAATAGTGTTAGTCCCCTTTCATATTGCCCATCATTAACAAAACCAGATATCATAACAGCCCATGTAACTGAATTTCGCTCAGCCATGGAACGAAACAATCTATATGCTTCATTAATTTTCTTCATCTCAACATACCCATTAATCATAGAAGTCCATGACACCACATTTTTTAATGGCATGTGATCAAAGACCCATCGAGCTTCACTGATCCAAAAGTTTGATGCAAACCCAGAAAGAAGAGCATTCCACGAGGCCAAATTACATTGAGTTATACCATTAAAAATCTCCATTAAAGAACCTGGATCTCTGCACTTAGAATAAAAGGTGATCAGAGAAGTACCCACATAAACATATCCACAAAAACCAGTCTTTATCAGTAGCCCATGAATTTGCTTACCCTGAATTAGAGCTCTTGTATCTGCACAACTTGATAACGCAATTGAGAAAGTTCTTTCATTGGGTCTTAAGTTCTCACTTAAGAATCTAGAAAGAAGTCTCAGAGCTTCTTCATAGTGGCCATTTCGCGAATAACCAGACATCATACAATTCCACGACACTGTGTCTCTTTGAGTCATTTTATCAAACACATTGCGTGCTGTGAATAGATCACCAGCCATGGCCAATTCTGTTACAGTTGAATTACATGAATAGATGTTTACAAATGCTTCATCACCATTGCACCTGAGATTTTGAGGAATTATAGTGAGTTCTTGGGTCGCTGAGACAGTATATGCAAGATTAGCTTTGAAAATCGACTGGAGATTGTTTTCTTTGAAAGGACAAAACCATTTAAAGATTTTTCGGAAATGGGTTGTTCTCATCATGTTTGGGTTCTTGGAATTTCATGATAATTGCAAGAAAAATAGGAGAATTTTCAGTGTTTGAGTGCGATTAATCGCGCCAAAATTTCCGGGGTTTTCAGCATATTATAGCACTAAAACTTCATTCTACATCTAGGAAATGACCATTTTAGAGCAGTTTACAGAAACTCCCCAGCCAGGGAAGAGGCCCCTGGCTTAGTCCTCATGACTCGACCGAGTCATGATGATGAAAATCCCTGAATAAATTGAAAAAAAAAAAAAGTACTAAAAATCAAAATAAAAATAAAAATAAAAAATCTTTAGGAGTCTGAATGAGCTAAAAAGAATTATTAGAAAAATGGAATAGAAAGACCATATCTGGGGATATTTTTAAGAAAAATATATAAAAATAGGGATTTATGGTAAAAAAAACATTCACCCATCTTTGCTAAATACATCTAAATTATGTAAGAAAAAATTTGTATAATGCAATTTTAATTTTTTTAACAATTTTTGTTCATCTTTTTAGTTATATTTTTTAAATACCCAAAATTGTCACACACTCAGGTACTCGGCCTAGCCATATATCTCGGATTAAGAAACTAAAAACTACTTATTGGTTAAGGGGGATGTAGTGGACCAGTAATAAAAAACTTGGCCAAGTTCGCTTGGACTTGGCTAATCGAAACTTGGCCTCTTATCAAGCCGGGTAGTTGGAAATTCGAGGTAACTAGAAAATACAATATTATAAAAAGAAAAGTTTACGCTGGACGGGTATGATGCACCTAAAAAACCCATTAGAAAAGGTTGTTCTTTATGCTGGGAAACCCTCAAATCGATCTTGGCCTCGAGATTTATAGACATGAAGATAGGGGATTTTTAGTCCAAAAAATAGTTTATCTTTTAACACATTATCTGGACCGTCCATTTTCATGATTTTCAAGTATTTATATATTGCTTGATCGTTACCATTTATAAAACTTTAAATTTCATAATTGGGAGAAACAATTGATTTTCATATCATCGCAAGGCTTTGCGACACCGAAACTGCATTTTCGACATAGTTTTGAGGTGCGCCTTACTTCAATATTATCAGGTTGACACCTTATACAAACCTCACAAAATATAAAATATATTGAATTGTGAATCAATGTATAAATATATTTTATTGTAAGGGAAAAGTTTATATAGAGCTGAGGCTTTAAACAATCAAATCAGAGCCTATATCAAAAATTTCACTAGAAGATGCTGTTTTGATGCCCAAATATTCTCAAATTGATTATCTCGACATCAAGATGCATAGACATAAAAAAAAATGGATTTCAAGTTTTAAAAATAGTGTATTTTGTAACGTATTTTTAGACAATCAATTTTCAAGATTTCATAAATTTGTCAATCTGCACTATTTTGAAGCTTTAAACTTTATAAATAAAGATAAAAATATATTTGAAGGCCATCACTAAGATTTCATGTATTGAAACTACATTTTTCGATACTATTTGAAGGTAGACTCTAATTTGATTGTTTAGAGCCTAGGTGCTATACAAAACACATCCTTTATGTAATGATTGGTGAGTTTTATTTTTTGGCCCTATGTCATATTTTTATAGTTTCCGCTTTTTTTGAATTTTTTTTAAATATCTTTGGCTGTAAATCATTTTTTTTTTTTTCTAAACCCACTTTTTATATCTATTTCCATATTAGTTGGACTCGTTATGTGGCTTTTAGTTTATTTTTATTCTTATTTTTTATTTATTTTTAATAAATATTTTGAATTTATTTTATTTTTTTACAGCTTAGGCAAGTCAACTCTGACTTGCTTGAGTTGCTCTCCATGGGCAAGGCCCGAGTCCCAAGCACATGACAAGTTTGTGAACATTGGATGAGATTGTGAGTAGGGTTGGCAATGGGCCAGGCGACCTGTCCCCACCCCAAAACACTAGGGCTTGAGCCACAAATGGCCTCAGGGTCGAGCCACCAAGGCCCAAGAGTAGGGTCGGGCCTCATCCAATCCCAACTTGGTTCTGCCCAACCCAACCCGGCCCTTTTTTCTTCAATTTTTTCTGTTTCCCTTTGATTCCATCTAGGCCTAAGCTAAGGCTTCTTTGGCCCAGTCCTGGCCTACTCCTACTGGGACCCGGGCTAGCCCAGCCCTTTGCTAACCCTAAGGACTATGGGCTGTGACACCAATAATCCATTAATGTGGCATATCAACCATTCATTTCCAAACTCGATGGTTGCCATTGTTGAGTCCAAATAACATTTGGCATCTTCAAAATTCATTAAAGGAAAATGGTTTGATAGGGCTACAACCGTAAATTCTCGTATCACAACTCATCGAAAATTACAATTCAAGTATTGGAAAAATTTTACATCGATCATCTAGGCTTCAACATTATGGTTGTAAAAAACAATTAGGATTTCAAGCTCTAAAAATAGCGTATAATGTAAACAAATTATCTACATTGTCTATTTTGCCATAAAAAACAAATGTTCACAGTTACACAAGATCTGTACCATTTTTTGAGTTTGAAAATTTACTGTTGGTGTTGAAACTTGATTTTAGAGCTATAGTGGAAATTTTGGTTGCTGAAAGTACTTTTGGGACGAGGATTTGAGGCGATGCTTTATTTTGTTTTCCTAAAACCCATGCCTTATAGAAACTTCATCCATGTTTTAGTCTACCTTTCGAGCGTGTACATTATGCTCCTATAGGAGCATACTATACACCTCATTGTTAAAAAAACCGGGTGATCTAACCGCTAACCACTCAGTTAGATCGGAGTGGCCGATTCTAGTTTTGGGTGGTTTTGTTGATCAATCGGTATTTTAAAAAAGAATAAAAAAATTGTAAATAAATTCCCCAAAAAAAAAGAATTTGGTTTGTAATGGCATTTTTTAATATTCTTTACATTATGGTACATATTAAAATGTATTTTTGTCATTAATAGTCACTTTAATTCAAAAATCGATTTGTTAAAATCTATTTTTCTAATTAATTGTTAACTTCATTTGAATGCATTTTGTTATTCTTTATATGCTTTTCATATTTGAGTAGACTTTTTTTTGTATCTTTTTTATTTTGCAACACTTTTTTTAATCACTCCGAACTTACCCTATTAGAACGGTTGAATTGGCCGATTTATCGATTAGGCCGGTTAAACCGCTTCTGAGCGCATGTCTGGTTAACCGTTTTGGTTCGATTTTGCATACACTGATACATCTACTCCCTTTGGCAAATGGCTTGGTTGCAAATGACTTACTTGGGAGAATTTTTCAACTTGAAATTTTGGAAACTATCTAAGAATCAATAGATGACTATTTCAAAAAAGAAAATTTGAATTTTAAGTTTTCTAACATCTCACCTTCAAAAAATCGGACAATCTCTTTTTCATTTTGAGACATAAATATTCAGGTGCACGGAGAGTGTGATTTGGATTTTTTTTTTCCTTCTAACAGGGTATGTCTATGGGCTTACATACCCAAATCGAAGCATGAAATCTTTTGGCTTTCCCTTCTAAAACTGGGGATTATTTTTTTATCACTTATTTGGTAAATTAATTTGGGAATTAGAATTTGGAACTGGGGTTGAGATAAATAGCTTTGTAAGAATAAGGCATTACAAATCAATCTCATTTTAGTAAAGATGCAACCGCTTTCAAATTTTGAGCTCTTAAATTGTAGTTCTTGTCGAGAGTCATAGCTTTAGGGGGAGCTGCCATCCGATTTGACAAACTTTCTTGACAATTAGAGGGGCAACAAGCCGGGCTTGGACTGGGCCAGCCATGGCCCTAGCCCTGGCCCAGCCTTTATCCAATAAGGAGGATAAGGGCCGAGCCAGGCCAGGCCGGGCAAAAATCAATGAAGACAAAAAAAAGAAAAAAGAAGGCCAGGTTGGGACAAAACAAGTTGGCACCAGCCCTACCTTTTTGGGCTGGGCCGCCGCAATGGGCAGAGACGCCTGGCCCATTGCCAGCCCTACCATTCAGAAATTTCAATTCTTCTCAATGCAAATTTTTACAATTGTTTGGCCTTTCGTGGTTTTGCATTTCTTCATGGTTTTGATTAACAAAATACTCTTTGATTTGCATATTGCCTTCAATATTAGTTACATGTTCAAAACATACTTTCATTGGTACATGCATACCCATGCATGCATCATTTCATTATCATCATCAAAAACTTTTTTCAAACGAATCGACTACTCATGTACATGCATGTATGTGTAATCAAAGGCAACAAAATGTTCAGGAATAAAATGAAAGAGCAATGCTAGTCAAAATTGATTGAATATAGGGAATGGAAAGTGTCTTTGACTTACAAAGGTCCATCTTTAAGATGAACCTCGACAACTAAATATTTCTATCCAACAGATACGAAAAAATATATATATATTGTTCTAATTTTTTATTTTTTATTTAAAATATTCATGATCATCATTGATCATGAATCTCTACAAATTTGGATCCAAGATCTATATAACGAATGGATGTAGTACGAGTCGGGGGACTAAAAAAGACGGATCCTATAGGGAAAGGGGCGTGGAGTTAAAAAAAAACCGGATCCTATTGGAAAAGATGGCGTGGAGTTCTCTATCCGCAAAGAGAAATCCGTATGTTTTTTCTTTCACAGCAAGGAGTTTGAGAAGGTAACCCATATGTCATATTAATGTGTGAAAAAATCACAAAAGAAATGAAAAGAAAAGATACAGATAGTTAGAAGGCAGAGGATGCTGAGACCCAATATTCCCATCACCTATTCTCACAAGAATATATAGAGATTGCAAATGAATAAAGATAGATCTTAAAATGGAGAACACTAACAATTTCATGGGGCGTCAAGCCAAAACAGAACATAAAACACAAAAAATTGTAAAAACATGAAAGATCTCTTACCCCATAAGCTGTTTCTTTTCGTTTTAAATTTGTCACAAACTTCAGCTGAACAAGATAAGTAATAGGAAATTGAAAGATACCCTCAGTCTCCACCACACACAACAATGATGCATATTTGAAGGTAAGTTGAAATGATTGCCCTCCATCAAAGAAAAAAATGGGAATTTCCATTGTCGAACCCCCTTTTTTTTAGATAGTTCAGCAGAGAAAGGTCCCTTACCTGTGGTAGGAATGGAATCTAGATGTCCCATTGTGGCACCCGCTCCCCGGACCACCTATACCTTTAACCCATTCCTGGTGCACCTCACTTTTCTTCTGCCTCTTCGGTCTTAGAGTCATAATGCATCTTGGAACTTTGCAATTTGGCCCACACTTTGAGCCATCTGACGCCTTGCCCTGAAGTAGTAGACTTTACCAGTGTTATGTATCTTTGTCATCATAACTTGGATCAACCTCAACACTGTGTCATATATGAAATCCTTTGCATCTGTGGATGCAAGCCTTTCCTCATCTCACCACCAAAGATAATGTCCACAATTTTGATAACTTCACTTGACAAGAGAACTTGCCCTGGTTTTGAGAGAGAGAAAGAGAGAGGTCAGCATGCTGTATAGAGAGGGAGAGGTCAGCACGCTGTATAATTAGTCAGATACATAGAATCTGATGCAAAATTTAAATAATAACAGTGGAATACTCAACCAGATGGAGATTAACCAAAAAAAAAAAAGATTCAACTTGTTACTAGGCTTTCTTTTAGAAGATTGATGAGCAATGAAAGGTCAAAAGGCTCATGGACAATTTCAATAAAGTCGATGTATAGGTAAATATAAGCATGGGGATAGGCTTCCCAGTAAAGTTGAAGCCTGTCTTGCTTAGCCTACAACTAACATTGAGAAAAGAACCACAAAGATAGTGTTTTGATCTAGAACCTGAACAAACTCAGGCAAGGAAATTCATGTTCAAATACTCGTGACTTTGTTCCCAAGGTTTGTAGATTTAAGGATCCAACAATTTGTTCATTGATCCATACTCGTGTCCAACAATTCTTCTCCACATATGGTCACTCCCTTTCCATAATGGTTATACCACTTTGTTTCCAGTTGCTATATTAACATCATGAGCCTCCTTATGTCGAGCCCACCAATGGCCCTTGGCCAACATACCGACACCTACCTTAACATATGAAAATTATGATTGAAGGAGAACCTTCTCCATAGGAATTTTCTTCGCAATCTTTCAACCTTATGAACAACTGCAACGGGCATCTTAAGTAGTGATATAGAATAGACCAGCAAGTTTAAGTGAGTGGTCTTTATCAATGTAATACGACCTCCAGGCGATTGGAGATTACTTTTCCATGTATATAGGATTGTTCTATCGTAGTGTTGCACACCTGACGAAGATCAACAAAATATCTACTAGTTGTTCATTAGATTCACAGAAGATCAAGATGTCAACAAAATAATGTAGATGGAATATCACCAGCCCACCTGCCCCTGCAAGAAAGCCCCATAGGATTCCACATTTGTGGACCCTCTCGATCTTCTGACTGAAAGCATTCGCTATAAAATGACAGAGGAAGAGTGATAATGAATCCACTTGCCTTATAGCTTTAATTCTAGGAAAAAAAATCCACATGGGTTTCCACCGAGTATAATTAAGAATGAAACTAACGAAATGCAGCCTGAATCCACCCTTGCCAATTTCTCTCCAAGCCAATCATCTCTTTAATTTTGTCGAGATGTTTCATTGCACATTATCATAAGCCTTCTAGAGATCAAGCTTACAAATTAGCTCGATTTCTTTGCCCTGTGACTCGCATTAACGAATTCATTCAAAAATCATCAATCTATAGCATCTTTGATTGAGATACATTTTAGATAGGAATACTCTCAGCCGTGTTGTTAAAATCTTTGCATTGATTTTGTAAGTGCTATTGATGAGGCTGATGGGTATAAAATCCCCTTTACATCTCATGCTCCAGCCAAACTTTAGGGTAATGAAGGTGGCATTTGCACCCAGTTGGATTATAGAATTTCATGAAACTCATTGACCATAGCCATGATTTAGTCACTTACCAAGTCTCGGGTCCTAAAGGTGCAATGGTGAGTCCCTCTGGACCGGGAATACCATATTTGAATCACTTTCAGTCAAATTATGGAAGCTCCTCATCAACACCCACTTAGACACCAAGGTTACAATCCCAAGAAGTAAGATAGAGAAAAAGATATGAGTGCCTCGCTGAATCGCTATGGAAGAATACCCCCAAGGGAAGGAGGGGAAAGGTAAACATTCATCAATAACAAACCACAATTATCTTCCACCAAGAATCATAAAGTGATCATACCCAAAAGAACAAAACAATACAGACTCCCCCAAATTCCATCGCACTTCCTTTAGGTCAAATCAGGCATGTGCCCTGCATTTCTCAGCTGCCAAACCAAAAGCTCCAACACAGAATAAACCTCCTCAGCTCTCCCATTCATCACCCCATCAGCTGAGTAAAACTCCACAACGTCCCCATCCACCTCTATCCAACTACAACCAGGTGTCTTCTCCATGGGCCCATCTCTTACTAACCTCCTTAACCTCCCCACCTCCTCCCACTTCCCCTTCTCCCCATACAAGTTTGCTAGTTGCACCATATATGAGCCATTACCTGGGTCGAGCTCCATCACTCGATGGACTGCACTCTCAGCTAATCCCACATTACCATGCATTCTACATGCGTTTAAGAGCGCGCCCCATATCACATCGTCGGGTTCTTGCTTCATCCCTTCAATCACCTCTATCGCCTCCTCAAGAAGACCTGCTCGACCCAAGAGATCGACTACGCACCCATAGTGCTCAATTTGAGGCTCTAAGCCATAGTCCTTTTTCATTGAGAGAAAGTAAGAGCACCCCTCATCGATGAGGCCACCATGTGTGCAAGCATTTAAAACTCCAACAAATGTCACCTCGTCGGGCCTCACATTCTCTACCTGCATCTTATTGAAGATTTCAATAGCCTCACGTGCGTGCCCATGCAGTGCAAGGCCATTAATCATGGAGTTCCAAGCTGAGATGCTACGCTCTTGCATTCGATCGAACAATTTGCGTGCCTCTTTCAAGCAGCCACACTTTGCATACATATTGATAAGTGCGTTACCGACAAATGGGGAGGCCCCAGAGCCACACTTGTATGCATGAGCGTGAAGCGGACCACCGACCCCCAGTGTGCCGAGATGTGCACAAGCTGAAAGCGCACACACTAGAGTCATGTGATTTGGCTGGTGGCTCTCTGCAAGCATACGGTTGAAAAGAGACAATGCCTCAACGAACAGACCATTTTGCGCACACCCTGCTATTGCCGCATTCCATGCGGGTACATCTCGCTCTCTCATCTCCTCAAAAAGAACAAATGCGTCGCCCATCTTTCCAAATTTCGCAAAACCAGTCAACAATGCAGTGAAGGACACCACATTTGGCTCATGCATCTCCCCAAGAGCACGGCGTGCTGCCTCAAGGACTCCGCACTTTGCATAAGCATCGACGAGGGCAGTCCTCACAACGGTCCATGCGTCAAAGCCGGACTTGGCAATGTGGGCATGGGTCTGTGCAGTCTCCAGAAGCGCGAAGATTTGCGCAGAGGCCTTGAGGATGTAGGGGAAGGTGAATTGGTTGGGGGCAACAGAATTGAAGTGCATTTGCTTGTAGAGATGGAGAGCAGTTTTGCAGGCGGGTGGCCCTTGCTGAGCGTAGGCGGTGATGATGGCGGTCCAGTGGTAGACACTGGGGCCGGGGTTGTGGTCGAAAATGAGGCGAGCGTGGTCGATGTGGGTGCCGCCCAAAGTGGTGGTGCAAAAACGGAGGAGTTTGAAAGAGAGGAGGGGAAGGTGGGCTTGGCCAAGGGTAATGAGAAAGGCATGAAGTTGGTTGAGGTGAGAGAGGTGGGTGCATCTCTCTAGTAAAGCTGAGACATGGTGGCTTAGCTCTCCAGCTTGGGAGAAGAGGTTCATGAGGCACTCCCACTTCGAATCTACTCAACTTGCCCCAAGAATCAGACTGCCATTTATGTGAGACTGCTGAAAGTAAACAATGTTCTTCAATTTTCTGCTACTTTCGCACTCTTTGCTCCATGGGCTGATTACTAAGAATGTAGTATGTTGTCAAACCGGCCTAACTGGACCGGACCGGTTGGACCGGCTTTAGAAATTAAATGATTAATAAGAATACTAAAATAAAGAAAAATTAAAAAATATAAAAAATCGTGCAAATCCAGTTTCCACAATAATTTTTGGGAATAAAAAAAGAAAAAGAGAGAAAATCATCAGATAATTCAAAAAAAAGAATTTTATTTTCTGTCACGTTTTTATTGGTATTACTTTTTTTTTTTTTTTTTTTTTTTTTTTTTTTTTATTTCATAGAGAGAGATGAATATCCAAATGCCCAATAAACCCATCAGGCTCATTTATCCATCCAAAACTCATAAAGGTTTTTCTGTCCTTTGTGCTAAAATGATATTTGTCAGTACCTACCGTCTTCGTCGGATCCACATAGGTCTAAGCCTGAGTCCGGCGCGGACGGTAGGGAGCGCTGTCGTGACTTGATCCCTCCGACCGCCACGTGACTATCCCATGAGCCATTAGCTTGATAAGAGAGATCTTCGACAAAAACAAATTGCACAAAAAAAAAAATCATTTTTTATTTTCAGATTTACTTATTCATGGATTTTTACAAATTTCAGTGGTAAAAGCCTTACAATTAAAACATATATATGTAAAATAAAATAAAAACCAAATAATAGGGCTTTTATTCGTTTTTATATTATTGAGCAATATTTTGAGGGGCTTTTACAAATGGCAAAATCCCTTCAAAGTAACCTAAAAAATGTAATCACAAATTCGAAAACACATTCTAAAATATACAAGCCCCAACTTCATAATCACATTCAGGCAGATACGTACATGTTCATTTATTTTTAAATCTTCTACAATAAACTAATAAATAAATATTGAAGTACATAAAAAAAACAAAACAAAACCTTACATGTTCCAGTAGCTTCGCCGGAAATCTGCCGGAAACATGCTAGAAATAGCTTCGACGATAGAGGCTCGTTTTGAACATGTCGAATGGCAAAAGCCTTAGTCAAAGTAAAAAGTTCAAGGGAGAATAATATTTTTGTTTCGTTCTTTTGTCATTTAATATGGCCAAGGCTTTAAACAATTAAAGTAAAGCACCTTCAAATTCAATCGACAAATGTGGTTTCAATATTGAAAATCTTTATGATAGCCTTAAAATATATTTTCATCTCTAATTATAAAATTTAAAACTTAAAACACAATGTAGATCCAACAGATCCATGAACTCTTGAAAATCTTAAAAATTGATGGTCCAAAATGCATTACAAGATGCACTATTTCCAAAACTTGAAATCCATTTTTTTCTCATATCCATGCATCATGATGTCAAGATTATCAATTTGAGGATATTTGGACATCAAAACAACCTCGTGAAATTTTTGAGGTGGGCTAAAATTTACAAATTTCTATTCCTCTAGCAGATGAACTACTTTGGAGGATTTATTCAATCTGAAATTTGGTAACCACTTTAGAATCATTTAATGATTATTCTAAAAAAAGCATTTGAAATTTGAGTTTTTTAACACGTAGATTTTACCCTCTAAAAATTAGACAGTTTCTATTCAATCTTGAATTTTATTTTTTTTTCAAGTACTTAGAGGGTGCAATTATGAAAATTTTATTGAGGCTAATATATGTATTGAATAGATTATATCCCCAAAATTTGGGACCTTAAAACTAAACTTAGGTGGGGTTTTACTCGCGAGAGTAAAGGGATCTTGTAGGTTTTTTTTTCTATTTTTTTTAAAAAAATGGGGCAGAAAACTTCTTTTCTTCCCCACATTTGGATGGTCCGGTTCAATAATGAACCGGGGCACTACCAATCCAACATGGATTTGACAGTTCATCGGTTCATGGCCGATTCAATATGAAATCCCGTTCATGCACTAGATTGGACCAAAAAAATTGTCGATTCCACAATTTCTAGTTCGAATTGACTGGCCCCATCCAGTTCTTACAAAATTATGTACCAATGCTAAAAATCCCATATCAACGGGACAAATCAACCAATTCAAAAAACCGGTCCAAATTGGTGGATCGGCCATTTGAATCTGTGGATAAGATGGAATGATCTGATCCAGCCTTAAAAATTTCAAAAAATTATTAAATATTGTTTGTTTTTAAACAAATGAGGTAGTGCATTATGGGCTTTCATTATTTTGTAAAAATACATGAATATTGAGAGTTTATTTTCTATCTGAGTATCTATTAATGTTGATTTTTCATAATAATTTTGCTACAATATTTTCACAAAAAAATTGATACTAATTTTGTGATTTTTAGTGCAAAAATTGGGGATAAATATTAAGAATGGATGGATTTTAATTTTTTTATATACAAATTGAGTGATTCAATGAACTTAGGTCAATCCCCGGCTAGTCACGAGCCCACTCGGGGCCACTCAGAATCAGCCCAATGACTTTTTTAAACACGGTCCAAATAGAAAATGATACGATTTTGGTGAGTCACCTATTACCATGCTATCCCTTGTCATACAATCCATTGTCTATCTAATATCCATCTCTAAGATGGATGTCAGAAAATGTTACATCCAATAAAAGTTAAAATGGATAGTGAAGAAAGGAATTCAAAAAATAACATTTATAATTTTTTAAAAAGAAAAAATCTAATTTTAGATCATTGCCATGGTTGAGATTATTGAACTCTAGATGTATTTGGCCTAGTGAAGCCCGGCCCAACCTTGATAAGGCCAGGGCCTCTTTGACCTAGTTAAAGTCTGGCCGGGCTCAAATAGACGTTATGGGGACTAAGGCCGGCCTAGGGCCAATACTAGCCCAATCCAAATCCAGCCTATTGCTTGCCCTAGCGGGCCTGTCCCATTTCAAGCACAAATTCTAAGAGAGGAAAACAGGCAATCTCTTGCACCGAGGGAGAGAGGGAACGAGAGCTTCATAGCATGTGACATTATTTATAGAAGGGCATTATTTTGCCATATTAGACCTTGCCCATTGTATTAAAATAAAGGCAATAAGTAAAATGCACCTCAAATATTCACTCGGAAAAGTTGCCTTGCCCTCGGGTCAATAACTCTACAATTGATTGCCTTTGTCTCAAGATGTATATATATGAACAAAAAAGAATTTAGGTTTAAAAATAGTGTATCCCATAAAACATTATTTAAAACATCTATTTTAAAAAAATTCAATTCTTTATAGATTTACTCATTCTACACCATTTTGAAGTTTTAAATTTCAAAATTAGGGGTCAGAATAGATTTTAGAAAATCTAAAAGTTCTTCGGCTTAAGAACTATATTTTTTTAATGAGATTTAGAGATGTGCCTTACTTTGATCATTTAAAATTGACATCTTATACAAAAGGCACCATTCCATTAAGGAAATGTACACAATGAAATCATTTGTTTTTTTGATACAAATAGGTCACAATCATTATTGATCGTTGAATGTAAAATCACGTGGTTGAGAATATGTCATTGATTACATATAAAGTCCAAAATAAAATTTCTCGAATATAGTGACAAATCTTATTCTATTGAATTTTATATCCAATAGCTAAAAATAATTACGACTTCCCTATACCAAAAGTAAATAATTTAATAGTTACAACCCTTAGTCACTATTACATAAGAGGACAATTTTAAGCCCTCCATTGTTGGAGAAAGTTTTCATGGCAACTAAAAAATGTGTTGCATATTAAGCTATTGAATAGGGCATCTCAAAAAAAAAATACTCATTATTATTTTTTTGGGTAAATAAGTGAGTAAGAATGCCTTCTACCCAATTTTCGTTAATAAAAGATCGGAAAAGTTACGTAGTACTATTTTACAACTCTATAATAAGGTAATTGTGTCTGGAGGCATAGAACGTCAAATAGTAACATCCGTAAAAATTGTAGTCTTATTTACAAGAACATCGGTCATCAAATTAACCTCACCATAAACATAACAAATAGAACATGAATGATTTAATATATTCAGATTAAATGGACCATGAACGTCGGCCGCCATAAAAAAAAAATACCCATCAGGGATGAAGTATTTAATATGTTCATATTTGAAAACTAGTCTATGTGGTTCTCCAAAATAAATGAAATAACACAAATAAAGTATTAAATTCCTAGCCTGTCATAAATAATTTGAGAAATTTCCCTTCTCCAGTTTTGGGAAATTTTGTTTTGTCAAGGAGTATATCCCATTTTACTCCTTGGACAGAGATGTGAGGGTGTCAATGTCAAATGAAATATGAGCCAAAAAAAATATTTTATGACAATGGAAATTTAGATTTATTAGTTGGTAAAATGCTGGCCCAATAACAGAACAGTGTTACGTGGTGGGTCCACGTGGAACGTGGCCACATGGCAACTTATCACATCAAACTTTTTGGCTCTTTGTGGGTGGAATCAATCACTATTAATGAGCCGCTAAAAAATAGACTATGTTCACATTAGAAAAAATGAAACATGATTTTAAAAGGTTTTAAATGCAAGACAAATTTCATTATTAAGAGCATGTTTGAACCTAACTTTCATAGAAGTGACAAACAATTGTAAAAAATAGTATTTAAGGTAACTAGGGAACAAGACCATCATTTTCTATTAGGCAAAATAAACTTCTAATCCCATAAAATTAGGAATTTATATTATTCGCACAAAATATATATATATATATATATATATATATATATATATGTGTGTGTGGGTGCGGTTTGTATAGAGCTTAGGCTCTAAACAATCAAATTAGAGCCTACCTTCAAATAGTATCGAGAAATGCGGTTTCAATATTGAAAATCTTTGTGATAGCTTTAAAATATTTTTTTATATTTATTTATAAAGTTTAAAGCTTCAAAAATAGTATAGATCGACAGATCTATGAAAACTTGAAAATCTTGAAAATTGATAGTAAAAAAATGTGTTACAAAATACGTTAATTTCACAACTTGAAATCTAGTTTTTTCTCATGTCCATGCTTCTTGATGTTGAGATGATCAA